GGTATCATACCAAAAGCTCCTACTTGGGAGCTCAAGGGAACAGGGATCCTACTGTAGCTGCACATAGAAGATCTGCCACGGGGAGTAGCTTGTTGGCCTCTCATGGGAGATGATATCGAGGTCTGCATTGCCAGTTCCCGACGCATGCGATAATTTGATATTTGTTATACGCAAGAATGCTCTTCGAGCTATTGAGGAAGGTGTAGCTTTGCGGCGCCTGTCTTAAGAGCTCGAAGGTCCCCAGAAAGAGAAAGGTCGAGAACAAGGATTATCAGAGCAACTATATAGTATGAATTAACATATTGTCTTTGCGTCTGTAAATAGACTGAAATATCTTTTTTGAGCTTTTCCTCTAATAAAATGTCAGAGCGCCATCAGTCCCTCTCTTACTATCCTTTAGGGGGACTAAGGCGTTCTGCCATTTTCTTAAAGAAAAAGCCCAAAGAAGATATTTTAGTCTAATTAATCATTTACTTGTCCAATGCTATCGAGAGAACATTCGCCTTATAACGACTCCATACCAAAATTTGGAATGTATGCAGAGCTAGTTTGTCTATCTATGTGCTTTCACAAAAGAACTGCTCAGTTTGGTCGCAGAAATAATGTAAATATAAGGATTACTGTAATAAAAAAAAACAGTTGAGTCTAGGGAACGAGTAGATAAAGACACAATGTAATCATATGATTCCGCATGTGAATAATTAAATGAGCAATCTAGAACTGCTAGTGGAAAAAATGCTTTGTCATCCTGTGTTAGAAACTCGTAGAAATTATTGGCTACCGATATTGAACGTAATTCAGCAATGGAAATTCAGATGGTCTGCAATAAAAACTGGATTTGATGCTTATTGAAAAAAAATGAACAGATTGGCGTTTGATAATTTTATACTTGACAAGTCTCACCATCATGTGATTAATCAAATTCTATTGCCAAGTAAAACTATGCACATGATTTACACAAATACATTGGCAACCTCTCGTCGGCACATTACTTAGTGAAATCACTGCTGGACATATCATCTCCTAAGGTTTGTAAGCGACTAATGTTAGAGAGCTGTGAAGTAGAAATTGTGTCGAACATGAACCATGTGTCTTCCCTCTCCTCTTCTTCCTCATCTTCGCGCTTGAAGGGGCAGTTTTGTATGGCCTAGTTTGAGAAGAGCCGAGCATGCACCCGTTCAGTTCCGGCTTTTTTGTAAGATCAGATCCCAGCTTGATTATATACAAATTATTTACATTATTCGATTTGTCTAGTACTTCTACAAAGCTCAAATTTGCGAAGAATCTCTAGATTATAAACTTCAGCTCATTGTGGAAGAAGTGGACAGAAAGAGAGTATTCAAGAAGATTTGCATACTAGACAAGATGTTCATACCCTTACTATCAAAATATAAACTTGTTTGGCAGAATGTTATCCACTAGAGCAGAGATTGCAATAAAAGAAGAATCATTAAAGCAGCTGAATTGCTGAGCTCGCTGGAACCGCGTAAATGCACCTAATAACTCATCAAACCACATTTTCAGATAAACGATCCGACAGTCATTGGCCAAATGCGTAAAAATTGTCTAGAGTATACGTTACTCTACAGAGTGCACATGACGGCTCCCATTTTTCTTATTTTATTCACTGGAAAGAAGTTAATATGAGACTAATCTCCCATCCAACTTGGAGGCAAGTATTTATTTTGTAACTTGAAAAACTCATAGAAGAATCTTTCTCACTCACTCAGAAAAGATTAGCAGTGGATCATAATTTTTGGAGAATATGCGATTTACGAGAAGAAAGGTGGTCTCATATTGACATATACAGAATGCGCCAACATGTGCCTATTGTTTGAGCATGGATAACCTTTCAATTTTTTAGAAATTTGCATTTAAGGGCCGATCCTACACCTCTATCTTTTACGGTAGGGTTACAGTGTGAAACTGTTGACGGCTAAAACCCTAGCCTTAAAAACTCTTAACATTCTCTCAAAGATAGTTCTTTTAGCGCTTAAAACTAGGTTAGGAGATTGTATTACGCTAAGCCGAA